CCAGCCTTGTGGTTCAACATGATCTTGCAGTCCGGTGCATTAACCCGCAGCACTATACCAGGACTCCATCTATATATATATACATTTATATAAAATGCATAGGATTAGGAGAAAAATTATAGTGTGATTTTATTTGAATGGGAAACAGTTTTTATTGTCCCTAAGTCTTGACTTAGTCTAATAAATGAAATTTATTGTCCAATAAATGAAAATAAAAGATATAATTTAATGAATGGAGAGAAGTACAGTTAACTGATGGTACATGGAGGGGATCATAATCGTTGTAATGAAACAAAGTATATGATTTGTTAAATGTAAAACTGATGATCTGCCCTATAAACTTTCACTCAATTCACACACACACACACAAAGATATACTTTAAACACATTAAAGTCTGAGTAAAGTAATGTGTCAGAGTCAGTAATTGGCTGAAAAAAGCACAGTGTTTTTGCCTCCTGAGAATTTCCACCTACACTCATGAAGTGAGCTGTGGAAGGATGCTTGCCACGTTGTTTGTTATTTGGGTCCGATTCCATAGCTGAAAAGAGGCAGTGCTGAAGGTAAGAGTGTCTCCACAGCTGCTTCTTGTTCTCGGAACTGGGAGGCTGCAGTAGGTGCTCTGTGGGGACTCTGCAGGCATGTGGCAGGTAGGGCATGAGGTCACATTTTTATGTTCCCAGTTGCACACTGGAGAGCCCTGGTGCCACAGTAGTTAAGTGCTTGTCTGCTAATCTAAAAGTCTGTGGTTCAAACCCACCAGTCACTCTGTGAGAGATGAATGTGGAAGTCTGCTTCCATAAAGAGTGTTGTTGTTAAGTGCTGCTGAATCATTTCTGACTTATAGCAACCCTTATAGGGTTTCCAAGGAGTGGCTGGTGAGTTTGAACTGCTGGCCTTGTGGTCCAGTGCCTATCCTACAGCTCCACACCTGGACTTCTCATCAGTGGTAATGCTCTTCTGTTCTGATCTCGTGACTGTTGTGAGTCAGGCCTTCACTAAAGGGCCAAAGAAGAAAATGCAACACATGCAAGAAAGCGTAAAGATTACAAACGTGGAAACCCTATGGGCAGTTCTCTGTCTGAAAGGTCTTTGTGAGTTGGAGTTGACTCAGGGGCAATGGTCATTTTTGGTTTAAATTGCACAGGTGACTGCAGTGAGCAGAGGTTGCTGCTGTGGATGTCTTGGGGTAGCAAGTGCAGTACCTCTCTGGGGGATGTCAGTCACAGCTGCAGGGCAGACTTTTTGGGGAGAGCCCTGGACATTGAGATAGACACAGTGACTGGTCCAAAGACCAGCTTATGTGTTTAGTGGAGGTAAAAGTCCAGCCTGCATGTTGCTTTTTCACCGTGTTGTTTCCTTTCCTCTCGTAGGCCCTTCCCAACAGAAGAAAGCATCACTGATGAAGACATCTACAAAGGCCTTCCTGACTTAATAGAGTATGTTGAGCATTTCCAGCAAAGCTAAACCACAGCCTGTTGTTTATATGCATTGTGGGTTTTAACTGTGGATGTTAAAATAAACTTTCTGAAGTTGAAAAATGGTTTAGTGATTAAGGCATGTAAGAGCTAATCTTAAGGTAGTGGTCAAAAGCTTCCCAGGAAAATGCACGTTGAATTTTTAGCACTCATTGTATTCCCCACCTTGTGCAATTCCCATGAATAATAAAGAAACATACTGAAGTAAAGTAAAATGTGGAACTTTCTCAAAGACATCATCAAGGGAGTAGGTAAAACTAGAGTAAGACAATTAGGGAACAATCGTAAGAGTAATAGAATCTGCTGCTGGATTTGTAGGACAGATAGCACACATTTTATAAATTCAAAGAAAGACAAGATTCTTGTGGGATACAGCTGCTTAGGAATTTATTATTAGATGGTGTTTATTCTGATCAGAGAGTCCTTGGGGTTTTATTATTTAATGATCAGGAAAGACAGAAGTTAAATCATTGTATCTGATTATCTTCTACTGATTGAGTGACTTGTATAGATTACAAATAAATACAAAATACGATCCTCAGATCTCAAAGAGCTGATAGCATAGATCAGATATGTCTGCAACAAATTATAATACAAAAAGGATTATGCTTCAAGAGATTCAGATCCTGTGGAAATTCATCTGCTCATCCATCTAGCACACTCAGCCACTGAGCTTGTTCTGGCTTTAGGGCCTTTACAATGACTATGCTCTCTGCCCACATGAGCAGCTCCTCAACACTCAAGCCAAATGCAATTTCAGGTATTCCTCTACATAGAAGCCTTCTGTATTTAAAATTGCCATCACCTCTTTACCCTTGTCTGTTTTTATAGCTATTACGCTGTCTGAGACAACTTGTGTTTGCTTAATTTATTGTCTGTCTCCTCATTAGAAGTTGTCCTTGTGAGGTCAAAGTCTTTGCCTTTTTTATGACTGTATTCCTACAGCTTTAAACAGTGATTGGTGCATAGTAGGTCCTCAATAAATATTTGTTTTCAGAATGAATAAGCTAGAGATGCATTAAGCATCTTATGTATGCTTCAGGCTGAGCTACCACTCAGTAAGTAAGTCAGAGCTCATTAAGGGCTCATTTCTACTTAACACATTTACATGAACTATCTTTGTGGTTTTTTTTTTTTTTTTTAATGTTTTATTGTGAATTATGTGATAGTTTACATGGGAGAACATTAGCTTTACATTCGTCCTATTGTATATCCTTTCATTGCCATGGTCACAATCCCCTCCATACATCATCAACCAACCAAAGGGTATACCCTGCAAGCCTGCCCTTCGGTCGTTAGCACACAGTCCCTCTCCCTCTCTGGCTAGAGTCTCTAGCTTCATCTCTCTATGTCATCGTCTCTGCCTCCATCTCTGGTGTCACTGCTTCTCTGGGTAGGGTCCCGCTCTCCACTCTTCTCCCTTGATGGTCCCAGGGACCCCTGCTCCTAGACTGCAAAGTTAATTACGCCCCTCCTTTTGCTACAAAATGTCTACCTTTACATTTCCAACCCTCACAGTCAGTCCTGATAACAATAATTCACTATTGCATTACAAGAGACCTGTCTGCATTTCATTTCATCAGCCCCGCCTAGACAGATTAGATATTACTTAGTGGAGATTCTACCTTCCTCCATGCCCTCTGGATCTAGGTTTCCTCTTGAAAGCTTGTAAGTCAGTCACTTCTTGCCTTTGTAGTCCCCCACTTTGGGTAGCCAGTGTCCCAGTTGCCCATCCCTGTCTACTCTGTGTATGGAGGGGGTGGGAATGACCCTTGCTGTAAAGAATTGTTCCCACTTTTGAGCTACTGCATCCATAGGTGTAGGTCAAGATGAACTATGTTTTGTAATTCCATGATACTATGGAGTTGTTCCTATTATCTTCACAATGTACAAGTAAGAAAATCAGGTTTTGAAAGCTAAGTAACTTGCTGAAGGTCATATCATAGTTAGTAGTAGTCGTTAGATTTGAACACTGGCAGTTCTTATTCTGGGCTTGTACTCACTGTGTTGCCTCCCAGATAGGCTTTGCAGTGCTCCTCAAAGAGGTTTCAGTGAAGCAATAAGGAGGTGAGTATTGGGAGAAGAGGCTTTCTGCTCCCGTAAAGATTTACAGCCTTGGAAACCCTGTACAGAATCGCTATGAGTCGGAACCAACTCCACGGCACGTAACAAGTGACTGGAGCTACAGGGCTGACCAGCAGCTCTTCCCAGAGAAGTGGCATTTGAATGAGCCCTGAAGTCTTACATAAGAACAGTTTTTCTTATTTAATTTCTCTTCTTAATACATCCAAGAAATCAGTGATACGCGGTAGATTCCGATTGCTTCAATGAATTGGCTACATCCCTCATAAACTAATCATAATATTGTTAGTAATATAATTGATATTTTTAGATTAAAGTGTTAGGAAGACTATATTGTTTCTGCCATTTATATCAGTTGCCTTTTATAGCCTTCTCCCATCCTGTTCTGCTTCTCAGTTTTTCTAGGCAGACTTGATGTCTCGGTAAATCCTAAAAGTATTTACTCCTAAGTAAGTTTGGAGAAAACTTTGGGATCCTAATCCAGGCTGCTCTGAGATACCAGTTTATATTCTATGAGACACAGCCTGCGTCAGCATCTAGGGTCCAAATATAGCATTAAACCTGGAAATTCTTGCTTTGAGTTTTCTGTGAAAACTTGCTTTATAATGTTAGCTTTGTCTATGGGTTCATATACAATAGCTCTGGGGTATGAATTCACTCAGAGGGAAGCCCCTTGAAACAAATACTGGTCAGCTCCCTAATGCTGGCCTGACTTACAAGTCATTTGCTTCTTAGTTTGAGAGAAGTAGATATGGGAAAGAGTAGGAAAGGTTGTGAGAAGGCAAAATCAGGCCCTGGACATGTTCTTTCCAGTTCAGTTGTGGCTGAGTTTGTACAATGCAGATGGACCAGGAGAATAATCAGAACAGGAAAGATTACAGGTCAGAGCCTTGTTAGAAACTTAATCTCCCTTTTGGCTCCTTCCACTAATTCCTTTTTATCTCCTGTATTTTATTTTCTACTAAAATCCCATGTGCTAGTTCTAGCTACTACATTTTTATGCATACTAGGAGATGACCTTTACATTGTGCCTTTGATTTTAGTGAAACCCGTGTGGAAGATGAAGAAGATCTCTACGACTGTGTGTATGGGGAGGATGAAGGTGGAGAGGTTTATGAGGACTTAATGAAAGCAGAGGAAGCGCATCAGCCTGTAAGACTTTCACTTGCCTGATTTTAAAGTCACTCAGAATATTGTGTAGAGATACTATGGGCTCAGATATAGTATGGGTTCTGTTCCAGACCACTGCAATAAAGCAAGTTACACAAATATTTTTTATTTTCCAGAACTCTGGTAGCGTAGTGGTTATGAGTTGGCTGTGAACCGCAAGGTCAGCAGTTTGAAACTACCAGCCGTTCTGTAGGAGAAAGATGAGGCTTTCTGCTCCCATAAAGATTTACAGCCTCGGAAACCCTGCGCGCGGTCACTATGAGTCAGAACTGACTCCACGGTACTAAACTACAAAACAACAATGAAAGTTATGTTTACACTATACTGTAGTCTATTAAGTATGCAATTGTTGTTGTTGTTAGGTGCTGCTGAGTCATTTCTGACTCATAGTGATCCTGTGCACAACAGAAGGAAACACTGTCCCGCCTGGTCCTGTGCCATCCTCATAGTTTGAACCCATTATTAAAATGGTATTATGAAAAAAAAAATTGAAATATTGTGAGAATGATCACAACATGACACAGAGACACGAAGTAAGCACATGCTGCTGGAAAACATGGCACGGATAGACTTGCTCAATGCAGGGTTGCAATGAACCTTTATTTTGTTTAAAACACACACAATCTATGAAGCAATAAAGTGGAGCACAATAGAATGAGGTGTGCCTTCATTTCCCAAAGTCACACCGTCTTTCAGAGACAGAGCTGAGGCTAGAACCCAGGTCTCTTGACTCAGCCTGGAGCCTTCCCATTGATCCATGCTGCTCCACACGCCTAGGAAAGGGCTCCTGCCATCAGCAACATGGAAATGCTGGAATAGTTCCTCTTTACAAAAAATGTAGGTCTTTTGCTTGCTTAAGAACTGATAGACTTGTTACTACACTTGTAAACTTATAAGCAAAGTATTTTGTGGCTTAAAACAACCACGGGGACTCTTTTTGTCTAATCCTTCCATTTCACTAGTGAGGGAATCAAGTCTGATAAAGGACATGCCACTCAATGAAATAAAGGCAATATGGCAGTAAAGACTATCATTTCAGGGAGTCATGAAATCATGTTGTTATGAAAGGAAATCTTATCTTACAAAGCAGGTAAATTTTTACTTTAAATTTGATGTATCAGAAAAATGTATGTTAGAGAATCATTCTTCCTGTTCTCTCAGTGTTGCTATGATGTGCTTTTTTCTTTTGTCCCACTCTGAGTCCTCCTGCTTTCTTCACTGTTTTACAAACTTGTATAAATGTCGTTTCTCATACTGTTGTACCTATGGTGTGCCTCTAAGGCTTTATCTACCATTGAACTATCTAGGACATTTCGAAGAATTCAGTTTGAATTGTTGTCTCATCTGTAACCTGAAACAACAACAGCAAAACCAATCAGCTGCTTAATATGTTTTTTGAAGCTAAAGAAAATTTTTTATCCACTGGGAAGTGATTTCTATTTCTTCAGGGCTTTGATGAGCTCACTCAACTTCCTCTGTGCTCTAAAACGCCCGTGAATTGATTGTCTGGTGCCTCATTGAGGAACAGCAGCTTCTTTCAGGTCAGAAACAAGTTACCTGTAAAAATTTAGTGACTTCAAGGAGAGTGTGTTATTAGCCCACTGCACAAGCTGACAAATGACTTGTGGCAGCATTTTAAGGGCATGATGTGGTGATAGAGAATTATCTGTGCCCCCTGTAATTGTCAAAGACTGTTGGTGCCAGCAAATAGGTTTTTTCATTGTTTTCCCCAAGGACATTCTTCACTCATCTGCCAGCACTGGATTGTTGACCTGGGGCAGGGTTAACCATAATGCTAACTTTGGTGTATTGGGCCCTTCCTGTGTACATGGCAAGGTGCTAAGTGCATTACATGATTATCTCATCCAAAACTCCATGAAGTTTGTACTGAAATGATCTCTAGTTTACAGAAGAAAAAATTTGAGTCACAGAAAACTTAAGTCACTTGTTCAAAGACGCAAAGGTAGCAGCAGCAAAATGGGTTCTTGATTCCAAGTCCATCTAGTCCACAAACTTGCCATCTTTGTGTTCTGCTATGTCAGTTTCAGTTTTGTATGTTTTATGCCAGATTCAAACACTATACTGTTAACTCAGCTTATTTTTTAAGGTTTTTACTTAGCAAATTATTTTTATTTATTTTGTAATTATTTTTGTAGTGCTTGAAACGTATGCTATCCATTAAGGAAGACCTTATTACCATCACATTTGTAGTGTTTCCAGATTCGTTAACATTATAATGAAAGAGATGCTTTAATTTAAGGAAAGTGTCTGTACTCAGAAGCTTAATTGTAATCATTACAATGTTTTCATTTGAAGTGTTCAAAATGATTAAAAATACTACAAACCAAATATAGTTCAAGAGTGCAAAAAATACCTCTTTTAGTTTTATGCTTTATTGGAATGGAAAGCTTATGAAAATCAGCAGCAATTTTTATTTCTCTTTACTACCAAGTAGATATGGAGTCCTGGTGTGGCACTACAGGATTACCACTGGGCAGCTAAACACAAGGTTGGCAGTTCAAATCCACCTTGTAAACCATATATAGCATTGCTTTTAGTCGAATGGCACTTAAAAAGATCCACCACCAACTAGATGATGCAGTTAATGCATGTATTTGATTAAATCATTTTAATTTGATGATTCTAATTATAGAAATGTCCAGAAAATGATGTAAGAAGTTGTTGCCTAGCAGAAATTAAGCAGACAGAAGAAAAATACACAGAAACTTTGGAGTCGATAGAGAAAGTAAGTCATCAGCTGTTATGTTTGGTACACACACTGAATAGATGTTTTCAGCTTTTGTTAGTCTACAAATATTTATTGCTTTCTTTGTATTTGACAGGCAGTGTTTTAGAGACTGAGGATGTATTGTTGTTGGTGATGCTACATGCCATCAAGTTGGTTCTAACTCAGTGACCCTGTTTATTTATACACACACACACACACACCGTATATATATTATATATAT